CGTCGGGGCCCCGGGGGCCGGGGGCGGGGCCGGACGAGGCAGCGCGGGCGCTCGCAGAGCGTCGACCCGGCCGGCCTCCGCTCCCCGACCCCCCGGGGGGTGCCTCCGGTGTCCTCGCGGGCCCGGGCCGGGGTCGGGTCGGCTGGGGCAGGGCCGGGGACCTGGGTAGGAGTTCAGGCCTGGGCGACTCCGGGCTGCGCTGGACCGGCGATAACCAGGCCCCGCGGCGGCGGCGGCCTCGGCCTGACGTCATATGGTGCTCCGCCCCTCGATTAATTCTATTGGTCCTTGTTAGTAAAGCCCGCCCCCGGCCCTAGTCTATTGGTCTCTAACTTGGCCCTGGGCTCGAGGACAGACTGCCCCAGCCCCAGCTACCAGAGCCCTTGTGTCTCTCACCCCAACTGCGAAGCCCAGATGCCCCCATCAGATCCTCAGAGCCCCCACTGACCACACAACAGACAACTCATAGGAGCCCTACAGAGAACCTCACAAACCCGGACACCCACAACGTCCCCACAGAGATCTGCAGACCCTACCCAGAGACTCTCACAGAGTCTCACAAAAATCCCACAAAACCCCCTTAAAAGAAGTGAACTCTCTAGGTTTGTCCCCTCCGGGTCCATTGCAGCCCCCTCGGGAGACCTTACTCACCGGGGCGGTGACCAGACTGCTGTTGCCAAGGAGACTGCTGGGCGTTCAGGTTGCCCTGGTGACGGATCCCTCCACTCCTGGCCTGGGTTCCAGAGGCTTTAGTCAAGCTCCTCATCATCCCTCCCCCTCACACCTTTCCTCAGATCTGGCCAGAGTTCCTTTGTGAATTTCTGCAGGTGTCCAAGTCCCCTCCCTAAGTCGTAGACTTGCAAGCAAGGCCTCTCACCACACAGCGCCTGCAGCCAGGGGTCATCCACGGTTAAGAGCTTTCTCACCCTCGGGACCAACACTGCCCCTTCCGGCTTTAGACAAGACCCTACCTAAGGACTTGTAACAGCCAAGACAAAGCCCAGAGGTATGTAGTCTCTCAAATGCCTCCTCCTCCAAATCCTCCCATTCTGTCCTAATTCCTTCTGTCCCTTCCTACCTACCTCAGTCCAACCCCCTACCATTCTCCACTTTTCATCCTTATCTTCCCCATCCCCCATGTCCCCCACGTTTCTCCACTCAGTCCCCTCGTCCCATCCTCCGGTTCTTCACCCTCAGGCCCCCTTTTCCTCTTGCTGAAGGTCTGGCCATCTTCCACCCCATCATCCTACCTTTCCCACACTTGCTGTCCCCTTCTCCTATGGAAAGGCCCTGATGAGTTTAAGAAATTATTAATGTAATATCTCTGGAGCATGGGCCATATTAGAGAGCAGCAGAAATTAAGTAAGGCTGGACTCCTTAGGCAATGTTGCAAAAGATGACAGGCCTTGAGTGTCAGGGCCAAGAAATTTGGACCTAATTCCTAGCCAGAGTCACTGAGTGTTTTTAAGCAAGGGAATGCCATTGTCGGGTTTGCATTTTAGAAAGGTCTTGCTTGGGTCGTTAAGGACGGCTGACCCCTCTTGGACATCCTCCCAAGATAAATTAGGCACAGTCCACTCCCCACAGAATCCTGGGCTTATCTCAGCATAACATCAGCTCATTTGTATTGTCATTTTGGTTAACCTGTCTCCTTCCCAGATTCTCTCTACTGAGTCCAGCGCCTGAGTAAAAGTGTTAAGATTAAGTTCTTTGTAAAAGAAGAAGTTACATAAATCAATGAAAGAATAGGTGAGTGGATTAATATGCTGGGGAAGGCAACAGAGGGACAAAGTTATTACATAATCCAGGTAGAAAATGACAAGAACTTGAACAAAATTGGCGGGAAAGGAGAGGAGAGAATGGATTTGGGGGATATTTAGAAGATAAGAAATATACTCCTTGGTGCCTATTTGAAGATGAGGGCTGAGGGGAAAGGAGAAGACTAGGATAAATCTCAGAGTTCAGTTTTGATGCCCTATGGGACATCCATTTAGCAATGTCCAGCAGGCAATTGGTTATGACTAAGTACAGGGGTTTAAAGAGGTCTAAGCTGGAAATATGGATTTAGGAGTCATCATCATACACCTGGAAATAGCTGAAGACCTGAACATGAATGATCTCACCTAGGGTGGGTGGGTGAGGGGGTGTCCCTGGGCAAAACTAGACTGTGAATAACTTAAAAAAAAGATGTCTAGATTCCATGAAAGACCAACTGGGGGAAAAAATTAGATCATATAGGGCCTTGCCTAATGTATCCTCCTGCACTCTTGGGAGCAAACCCCAACTTTGGCTTGGTATTCCCAGCCTCTAGAAGTCCCTAGCCTGACCTCCATTGCCCTCAGGTATGCCCAGAACCCTGTTCTTGGACTAGCCAAGATGCTATGTTCAGGCCCCCTCCTCTGCTACCATCTACTGATGGAATTCAGACTGCTTCAGCCTTCTAGTATGCCATATGGAGTCTAGGCACATAAGTTAACCTCCTGGCACTGTACCCTGACCCAGAGCTCACCTGGCTTCCCCCTTGTATCTCGGGTACACTGAAAACCTTATCCTAATTCCAGAGCCCTTTGTGAATCCTGACTTTGCAGACCCTCCAATCCCAACCTAATGAAACATGTACCCTATTCTACCACTAGATGGAAGCAGACAAGGTCACAGAAGAGCCTCATACCACCATGGATGCAGAAGAGCACCTTTCTTCAGAGGACTCCTCCGCTGAGGACTCACAGGAGCGTCCTATCCCTGAAGAGCCTCCCATCTCTGAAACCCCTTTAGAGCCCTTTGACTCTGAATCTCATATGGCGCCATCTACTTCCCAGGTCCCGTTAGAGACCCACACCTCTGAAACCCCTTTGGAGCCTTCCATGTCTGAGATTCCTTTAAAGACCGATAACTCTGAAACCCCTTTAAAGCCTTCCATCCCAGAAACCCCTTTAGGACACTCTACCTCTGAGGTCTCTCTGGAGACCCCTAACCCTGAGATCCTGTTGGGGACTCACACCTCTGACATCGAAGAGAAACACCTTACTTTTCATACCTCATTACTAAGCCAGGTCTCTGCATCTTTCTCTGATGATCCGAAGGAAGAGCCCTTTGAGTCTTCCTTGGACTCTATCCAGACCACTGACTCTGAGAGCCTTCAAAAGCACTCCCTTTCAGGCCCTCCAGCCTCGCTCCACCTGGACACACCTGCAAAAGAGGGGGAAGAGGAAGAAGAGGGCGAGAAAGGGGTGGATGCCACAGACAGCACCACTCATACAGCTCAGCCTGAACAGAAGCCAGGCAAGAAGAAGGGGAAGAAAGGAATCAGCTGTAATTGCCCCAGCCCTTCCCCCTTTCTCAGCACTGTCTTTGACCTGCCCCAGCAGGAGGGGATTGGGTTACTCTTTGACTGGGCCCCTTCTCTCAATTTTCGAGCCTCCTCACCTCCCCTTAGTTACTCAGCCCCTCCCTCCCTAGGTTACACAGTCCACCCAATGATCCCTGCTAAGCAGACAAACCTGGTGAAAGTGGCTAAGGCACTGCACAGAGAGAAGTCTGGTGCTCAGGTGGATTATCTTTTCCAATGGGAGAAGGATGCAGCTCTGAATGCCATCCAGACAGGTGAGCCCAGGCAGCCTTTCAGAGGCCCGTGACAGGCCCATGGCCATCCTCCAATCCAACATGATCTAGGAACCTGCTCGTTCAATGGACAGCTACTCCTTGTGGCAATGGCAATGCCACCTGCCTAGAATCTAGGGCTGGGAGTAGGTGGGGTGGTTGGTGGAGCAGGCAGTTAGGCCAGGGTAGATGAGGGGAGATGCAGGCAAAAAGTAGGGATATTCATAAAAAGCCCTGGCAGGAACAGGTGGCTACTTCAGTTAAAAAGAGAAGGGCCACAACAGGCCAGCCCCAGATCTAGGACTCAGATAGCCTGCACTGAGCAGACCCCAAGGCTGAGATGGCCGAGGACCCTGGACAGTTTCCCGGAGATTTGTTGCTCTGACATGGCAAAAGGCCTTAGTCCCCTTGGTGGAACTCCATTAAAAGGCTGTCACCCTTGCATGCTAGACCCATGATCACCTGGGAACCCAAAGCTTTGAGTCTCCTCACCAAAGAGAAGAGCCATGTCTTCTCACCCTATTGATTCCAAGTCTCAGCCCAGAATGAATACCTGTCCTGTTAATGGCATGCTGGGCTTATCTGCGTCTGTGTAAAGGGTATGCAGAAAAATCGTGTGAACACATGCCATCCTGTGCGTGAGCACATGCACCTGTGTCACTGAACTTTGTATCTATAGGAATTCCCTTCAGTAAGAGGACCACCCTGACCTGTTATAAGGATTCTGGGGCTTCTAGACTGAACACAATAGATATCACTGTATTTTTTTCATCTCTCATACTTCCTTTTCCCTTATGTCAAACCTAGATGAGCCTAAGATATAAAGATAACTGGGTAATTCTATGTCCTTATCTCTCCTTCATGTAATTTACTTGCCTTATTCCCATACCGGGCCAAGAAAGTCAGAGTGATCTCATTTGTTTCTCAGCCTCGTTCAGGCACTGAAATGGCTTTGCTTATTGAACATCCTCTGTCATGCTTACTTATTCTTCTTGCAGATGCAGGGTCTGTTCAGTCTCCTCCTTCTCAGAACCTCCGATCTACTCCCTACTCTTCAAAGCCACTGCATTTCCTCTTCAGACTGAACTTCTTCATTTTCCTGTTTAAACTGGCAGTTTTATACAGAAATTTAAGTGTCATTCAATCCTAAACAAAGATATTTGGGGCTGCCTTCGAATATTGGGGAACTTGAGTCCCTGAAGACACCAAGGGACTCCATCACAGTATATGTGATATATAGAGGAATATCAAGTATAAGCTTTTCTTTTATTCATTATTTATTGAGCTCCAACTACATGCCAGGCATTGGGCTAGCTGTGGAAGTGGTGGTGCTGGTGGGATTTCAAAGACAAAAATCCCTGAAATAATTTGCACTCTAATGAGAGATACCGCTAAGTAAATGAATAATTATAACTCATTTTCATAATTGCTATGATTGAGGTCAGCCCAGAGTCCTGCATGAGCAGAGAAAAGGGGCACCTAGTCTTGGGGACTTGGAGGAGGGATGATTTCTCGGCCAAAATCTGTGAGATGAGTAAGAAGAGGTGGCCAGGTACAAAGTGGTGTAAGGTGAGACACAACAGGCACCAGTAGGAAACTGTGAGCAATGCAGTACACCGCTGTGGAGAGCAATGGCCAGAGGAGCCTAGCCAGGCACCAGAAAGGCAGAACTGCACAGGCATTTCTGTGCCAAACTCAAAAGTTGGGACGATATCCTGAGGGCAACTGAGATTAACTAAAAAAAAAATTTAATAGGACAATAACATGTACAAATTTGTATTTTTGAAAGATCTTCTGGCAGTAGGATAGCCTGGAGAGAGACAAGGCTGGGGACAGGAAGACTACAGTGTGGGGCACTGGTAATAAACCGGGTGAGAAGTGGATGGGCAGAGGTAAAGAGAAGTAGACTGATTCAAGAAATGCTAAGAAGATAAAATTGACCATTGGATCATTGGATGTGTAGGATAAGACAGAGGGACATGCCTGGAATGTCACCGAGGTTTTTGGCTTTAGTTACTGATTGGATGATGGTGCTATTAACTGAATGCCTAGAACAGTGTAGGTGTTTAATATGTGTTGGGTGAACGGAGGACAAAGGATGACGGCCAAGTTTGGAAGGAATCATTGGTTATAACACATTTGCAGAGCTTGTGGAAAAGGCTGGTAGAATAGTAGAAAGCTGGCTATTTGGGTCTAAAGCTTAGGAGAGAGGTCTAGGCTGAAGACATCTTTCACCTAAAGACAGCTGTATGTTGTGTGATGTTCTAAGCATAAAGAGATATTATCATGCAAATGAGACTGTGATTGTGGGATTGATTGTGTTGTGCAGAGTCAAAATAGTGTGCCAGATAATGTCTCCTCCCCCTGCCAATCTTTGTCTAATTATAACAGGAAGAGGGTTTAGAATCATGGCAGAGTAGAAGGCTTACCGCCGGAATACACAGCCAGGTGGTCAGTTGTCCCACTTTAAAGGCACAGATACCTGTAACAGAGTCTGAGGTATAGTTGCCATTCTGATTCAAACTCTAGTCTTATTCATCTGAAAGCTGGGCAATGACTCTCACATTGGTGCTTGAACTTGACTCTCCCAGGCCCTCAGGCCAGGCCTTGATCAATGGGCACTAACCCTTGTTCACCTCTGCACCTCATCTGTTCATCCACTGCTTCCTGCTATTCCAGACAGAGTTCAGAATTCCTCTAGTGGAATCCTGGCCCCCTCCCACCTCCATTGTGACTTTGTCCATACTCTGCCCTTTCAACCAACCTTCCCTGGTGTAAAGGGGCATTGACACTACGGGCTGTCAGTGTCAAGACAGAAGCATCAAAGGCAAAAGCCACATCTGGTCAGGCTTCAGATCCCAAGAGACCATGGGTAAGACAAGAAAACCTAGTTTGACAATTAGGCACAGAATTGTAGACTGTGGCCCTGGCCAGAGTCAAAGACCGCAGGACACTAACTCTTTCTCATTCTCCTTATGGAACTTCAGGCTTTGTCAGGAGTACTGCGTGTCTCTTCCTCCTGAAGGAATCTGCTCATTTATTTAGCCAAGCAATTCATGTTCTCTAAGCACCTATTTTGTGCCAGATCCTATGTTAGGACTAAAGACATAGATGAAAAGACAGGCCTTCCTTGGAGAAACTCACAGGCTAATGGGAATACAAGTGAACAGTCCATTGTAATGCATTGAACTGGCATAGGAGTAGCACAAGGAGCCATGGAAGGCAAGAGGAGGGGCCCCCAGACAGACAGGGGAAGTCAAGGACAACTTTTTGGTGGAGGTGACACTTCATTGCCTTTAAATGGGAATAAGAGTCCCACAGCTAAAGGTCCCACTCCTTGGGGATGCAGACAAGATTCTTGGCTAGAAGTACCCTCAGCTCTTGTGGAGGATAAGGAAATCTGAGTGGGAAGTGCCTCCCACATTTACACCGCACCACCCTTGCCTTGTGGTGAGACTGACCGTCAAGCCAAACAGTTTCAGACCTCACTGCTGAAACCATGCTCTCGGGGGTTGTGGTCTCTTGCTGGTGCCTGCTCTCAGGGATGCATCTTAGCCTCACCTGCCTTTCCATGCCTCCTTTCTTAGTCTCACATGCTTATATAATTTTTGCTCTCCACCAATCATGACTTCTGGCCTCCCCCTTTCTCCTACCCTTGGAGAGCCATAGGCAGCCCTTCTCAAGTTCATAGAAGGCTAGCTGTGGTTCAGTAACACCAGGAACACAGAAGCAAAGTATGAAGGTGACAACCTGGAGAAGTGAGAGAAGCCCTCCTCCTGCTTCCTGGCATCAGGGCTGCCCAACCACCTCCCCCACTTCAAGGCCCTTGCATACCATGCTCCTGAGGAGCCAGTCCCACCATCTACTCTGCACCTGACCAGTCCTCTTCCCTTTCCCTCACCTTAGACACTTCAAGGAAACAAAGCTAAGTTTGACTCTAATGTTGGGAGGAGAGATTGAGAATTCCCACAGTCACAGAGAATTCAGCGAGATACATGTCCATCATCAAATAAAACTTCACTGATAATCTTCTTGCTCAGAACTGAAGACTGTCTTCAGTCACTTCTGACAGGCAGACACAGATGGAGTGGATTCCAGGGTGGGAAGGGATCTGAAGACACTTGTTGGGCGATGAGAAAACCTTGAGGAAAAAAGTCTAACGGGGTAGGGATGAAGACTGGTGGTTGAGATAGATAACACATGGGGGGAGCTTGGGTAATTTTTCCTTCTTACTCAGTCCTCCATACCCAGGTCTCTACATTGGCTGGCGCTGCCCCCATTATCTATGGGACTGTTTCCAGATTGGGGATGAGTCCAAGTGCTTTTGCGGACACTTGTTGAGAGAGCATCATATTATCTCAGGTAGGGGAGAAGCGACCATCCCTTGTCCGTGTGGAGCGAGAACCACCCTTTGTCATGTGTTGGGAGGTCTGAAAGCAAATGTGTGTGTATGTTTGTTTGCGGGGAGACAGGCCAAGTCCTATCGGGTCCTGGTCTAATCCTACCACTGCCCCCTTCTCCACAGACATATCTGTGCCCTGCAACGTGGGCCAGTGCCGCTGCCTCATGTTCTGCTTTATCCCATCACGCCCAGAGGAGGTGGGTGAGTTCTGGCTCAAGAGACGGACCACCTTTGACCCCAGGGCTTGGAGGGCCCAATGTCGCTGCAAACACAGCCATGACGACCACACAGCTGCCGGGTCACATTCCTGCAGGGTCAAAGGTACCTTCTAGGGCAAGGGGAGTGTAGGGGTAGGGATACGTGCAAACAGTCTGGGGATGAGGATGGGGAGCTGGAAGGAGAGACTTGGGCTTATGGTTGGTGAGGAAGAGATGAGAATGCAGTCAGCCCTGGGGGAAGCCCCAAGTCCCTGTACTTTTCTTAGCTGCTCCCTTGCCCTAGGCTGTTCCTGCAGCTGCTTTGAGTCTAATTTTCTCTGTGCTGCCTGTGACCGGCGCTGGGAGGAACATGAGACTTTCTTTGAAACTGAGGAGACCCGGCGACGCGGAGGGAGGCCTCACGGTGAGGGGGCAACCTTGGGCAGGGGCCCATTCCAGGGTCTGTAATCAGAAGGCCAGGCAGGAAGGCACTCCTCCCCTCAGCCATCCCATCCAGGACTGCTTCACCCACTCTCTCCCTGAAGCCCATACCTGCACTGGTTTCCACTCCCCAGGAGCAGACTATATGCCTTTTGCAGAGATGCCTACTGTCCAAGAAGCCATCGTCAACAACTCTGACTTCGAGATCCTCCAGAAGGAGGGGCCCTCTGGCCCTCCCAGCCCCCACCCTAGTCCCCCTGGGCTCCCTAGCCCACGCAGCCTCCAGCCTGGTCCTATGTCTAACCTGCGTCCCTGACCCGTTCACCTCTGCTCTTCCCTCCTCCAGCGACAGACACTGTCAACACCTGGCACACGCCTCTGTGAGCCTGGCCCAGTTCAGCAATAAAGGGGAAGCCACTGGAATCTGACTGGCTCTGTATGAGGCAGATAGAGCCCACCCAGGGACAGATACCTTAGGACCTTAGACTCAGCACCTACTGGGGGAAAGAGAGAGGACCACGCAGGAGAGAGGTTGGATCCAGCCATCTGCCTCCACCATACCCACATTCAAGCTGCTAGCTCTGGCTTCAGAAGGAGAGAGTGGCTTCAAGGAAGCTAAAGAAGGAAAGAATTTCAAGAAGGATAGAGTGAGCAGTGATGTTAGATGCAGGTGGGGGCTCCAATAAGATAAAAACTGAAAAGTGTCCATTGGATTTTGTAATTAGGTCTTTGGTGACCTCAGAGAGTGCAGTTTCAGTGGTGCAGTGGAGGCAGGAAGCAAATAGCAGTGAGTATGAAGGAGTTTCTTTAAGAAACTTAGATGGAAAGAGCAGGGAAGAAGTCAGACAATACTCACAGGGGGATGTGGAGTCAAGGAAGCATTTTTTAGGAAGGGAAAAGGGAGGGGCCAGTAGAGAAAAAGACCTTGAAGGATGCACGAGAGAAAGAGAGATGCCTGGTGAAACCAGATCTCAAAGATGGAGGGGATGAGGTCAAGGCAGAGGTGAAGGGATTTACTCTGGATGGAGAAACACCACTTCCTAAGACGAAGAAGAAGGAAGAAAGAAAGGATGGGGCCTTCCCTGAGCTGCAGGGAGTAGGATTTTGTGGAAGTTCTCCTGTGAAATAGGAGACAAGGTCAGTTCCTAGTTGGGGAGGAGAGGAATAAGAGTCGGGAGTAGGAGACAGGAAGAGAAAGGTGAAGTTTGGGAGGGCTAATGAGGGGAACTGGAGAAAAACCTCACCAGTGGGTAACTGAGGATTCAGATATAGTTGGAAGCATGAACCTAATTAGAGAAGCAAACTAGATTAATGGGTGGTGATGGGAGTGTCAGGGGGTGTCAGGGAGGATGATCAGCAAAATACAGCAAAAGAAGGCTTGAGGATGTGGAAGGCACTGACCATACAGATAGGGAATGAAAGTGAAGCCCGGAAACAATTGACAGATTGAAAAAGGAACAGAAGTCTCTAATGAGGTCCAGTAGCAGCTGTAGTGGCAGGGATCGAAGTATAGGAGACAGTGGCCAGAACCTGCAAAGCGCTGCTTTCCAATGAGAGCAGCTGCAAGTGATCACAAGGGCCTGGAGGAGAGAAGACGGTGGGCCAGGAGCCAGCGTCAGTGAATGCAGGGGAGTGACTAGGAAGCCCATAGATGATTCTTATGGGGAATAGGAGATTCTGACACCTCTGTGGCCTCTGTGATCTTGGGCAAGTCATTCCGTTTCTGGATCTGTAAAATAGTACAACCTCTGTGCTACCTGCCTCTAAGAGAACCCAAAGAAATAACCAGTTTCAAAGGATTTTGTACTCACCTACCTGTCCTGGCTGGTTTCATTCCTGTCTTAGATTCTGGAACCTCTTATCTCTTGCCCTTCTCCAGAGCAGCTCTAAGGGATGCTACTGTCCCAGAGGCACCACAGAGAACTGCAGCTTCCAGGGCACAGAGGCCATCTAACCTTCCAAGGAAAGGAATGCAACTTTGCTAGAACTCCTGGGGGAAATCACAGGGTCAAATGTCTGCCCTTTGGAGGAGAAAGGACTCTCTAACAATAATATGGCTATTCAAAAGAGATAATTACTATCTATAGAAGAAGAGTTTCTCATTACTGGTTATATACAATTAGCACCATGATGACCATTCACTAAAACCAATTCAACTAATAATCAACAACAAAGGAGTGGTTACTATGATAAATTCAGTCAAGGAAGCATTATGCAGCTATTTCAAAGCATATTTACACAGACTATGTAATAATATGGGAAACTGATTGTAGATGAGAGAATAAAAATATGCAATACATTGCCTTATATTTTATGAAAAAGGAGATGAAAACACCAAATGTTATTCATTCTACAAGTAATTATTGAGCACCTATATACGTCAGGCCATGTGCTAAAAAAAAAAAAAAGATACAGTGGTGACTTGTGTCCTGTGTTAAACTCTGACTAAAACTTACCTGGTGTGAGCATATTAGCATTTTGTGACCCCATATTTCTGATGTCAAAATATATATTCCAGCAGAACGAAATATACTTCTGACCTAGTCATAACGCATTTCCCTTGTCCTTCAAACCCGCCTTACTTACAGAAAATGCCAGGCACAGAGCTAACATATCACATATTATTTCTGATTGGGAAAGAACATTGAATACGTACTCCTCTGCTTATTAGAGAAGTAAGTTAATAGCTTTGAAACGATCAAGGGTCTGAAACTGTCCTTGTAGGGTGAACGCTGGTTATCCATCCCATCAGTTAAAAAATGACCCCGTCCCAATTCACCTTCAGCCCCACCCGCTTGGCGTCCTCCACCCGCCTCTTTCTTCAGGGACTCCTACCGCCTGGAGACTCCGAGGTCAACAGTGCCTCTTGGAGCCAATAAACGCCGTATCCCGAACCCCGCCCTCCTCCTGGCCAATGGGGTGAAAGGGTCTACAATCTCGGAGCCTCCGTGCGGCAGGTGACTGAATGCCCTTCCTCGCAGCCCACCAGTAGGGGCAGCCCCGAATAGGAGGAACCAATACGATAAAAGTTCTGCCACCCACGAGCCGCAACCTAAGCTAGACGGACGTTGTGTTGAGAGCCAATAAGACGGAAATCCCACCTCCAGGTCTCTCGGTCCTTCCAATGGAGTGAGAAACCATTTCTTAGCGAAACTAGGGAGGGGATCCAATGGAAAAGGAACTTTCACGCTGACTAGAGGACGAAGCCAATGGAATGGAAAATGCGCCCTTTAGTTGATATAAGAAGCCAATGAGATTAAAAGATCCCGCCTCTACCGAGGCGGTGGAGCCAGTGGAGTAGGTTGGGCCGGCTCTGGGCTGAGCGCGGCGTGCCGGGCCCAGGAGCGCGACCCAATGGGGTGGCAGGGTTCGCTCCGGGCCGCGGGCGGAGCCAATGCTCCGCGAGGAGCCGGCGCGCTGGCTCAGGTGGGTGGGTCCTGTGGCCGAGGGGAAGATGGCGGCAGCCGTGGTGCTTGCTGCCGGGCTCTGCGTAGTGCGCCGGGTAGTGGCGGTCGCGGGGCCGCGGGGGGCTCAGGTGAGAGGTGGCCATGGGGCAAGGAGGGGGTGCCGCGGGCCTGACGCCCTCCAGGGCCGGGGACCGCGCTCCTCGGCTCCTCGCGGCGCGCAGAGCCCTGCTGCCTCGCGGGGCCGGAGCCTGAGCGCCTGTCCGGGAACATTGCCCCTCCCGAAACGCAGGCTCCAGGGCTGTGCGGTGAAGTCGGACTGGTGGTCGCAACAGCCTCTCCAAAAGCCTCGGCATGGGAGAAGTGATGACCGACGCCCTGAACAGGCCCGGGCACCGAGGTTGGGACAGGGTCAGTGCAGCGGTTGCTGCCTTCTCCTAAGCTGGCCTGAAGCTTAGCCAACTGAACCCCTGCTCTGGGCAGCTCCTCAGTGCCCCCTGCAGGACGTGAGCTTTTTCTCCTGGGAGCCAGTCTTCTGGTTCTGCCCCGTCAGGCCCCTGACCTACTGAGAACTACTGTTAAACTTTATTCTTCCTCCTTGCCAGACCGACTCAAAAGGTCAGATTCATCCCGTCCTTTTCTCCCACAATCTGACTTGAGCCTTCTCTCAGCCCCTGGGAAACGGGCTTCTCTACCTTCAGTCCCCCTGGGGCTGGGGTTAGTTGTGTTCACTAAACTGAACTCCTTCCACTGATGGATTCAGGGGACTGTAGTCAAAATTAACAGTAAGAGGTCAGATGTGACACCCAGACGCCCTTGTGTCAAAGAGGGCAATTGTATCGAAACCTGAATAAAACAGGTAACATGGCTTAAAGATCAGAAAACAAGTAATGGAAATAAGTGGAAACTTCTTAACAAGGTAAGAGTAAATGGAAAGAGCTCCAAGTAGTCTTCAGAGATGATGCAAACCACCCCCTTTATATTTGAAGCCAAAGGAAGGGATTTATTTAAGGTAATTCAGTAGTAAAATAGGAACTGGGACCTAAGCCTCCAGGTTCTCCTTTTGGATCCTTTCCCTGAACAGTGCTAGATTTCCTGGACACTTTAGGGTTAGGAATCAATTGTATTGGTGAATTCTGCATTGTAATACTGCATGTTATCTAACCAGGCCCAGCACCATCTGGCCCTACTCTCTGCTGCTGATGCTCTGAAATTGAGAAACTTTTCCTTTGAATGGGAATCGCTAATAGGTTATTAGAAGGGCGAAGTTAATGGCTATCAGAGCCCAGCCTCTGCCAGCCCCGACTACGTACATGAGAGAGATACTGCCAACACCCTCCCTTGAGTCTGTCTGACCCACCTTCAGGTCCGAGGAGCTGCAGGTGTGACTGATGGGAATGAAGTAGCAAAGGCCCAGCAGGCTGCTCCTGGGGGAGCAGCCCCAACCATCTTCTCTCGGATCCTGGATCGAAGCCTCCCAGCTGACATTCTATATGAGGATCAGCAGGTGGGGTGCCCTTGGGACCCCTCCCCTTAGGAATTTCATAAATACTATCTGCCCTGTTGAAGTAACATGGTGGCCTCGGCCTGTCATTGCTCCCAGTGCCTGGTATTCCGTGATGTGGCCCCTCAGGCTCCTGTGCACTTTCTGGTCATTCCTAAGAAGCCCATTCCTCGGATTAGCCAGGCTGAAGAAGAAGACCAACAGGTGGGAAGAACAGGACCAGGGTTTGGCTCGGGGAGCCCTATACTCAGAAGTTTTGCTCCCTGTAAATGAAGCCACCTGTCTCCCTTCCCTTTCCCTGTAGCTTCTAGGACACCTTCTCCTTGTGGCCAAGAAGACAGCAAAGGCTGAGGGGCTGGGAGATGGATACCGACTTGGTGAGTGACTTTTGGCCCTTGAGCCCCTCAACTATGAATTCTCATTCCTACCCCTCAATATAATCTTCATTTTTTGACCTGTCCCATGATCCTGACCTCCTAACCCCAAGCTTCATTTCAGTGATCAACGATGGGAAGCTGGGTGCACAGTCTGTATATCACCTGCACATTCATGTACTTGGGGGCCGACAGCTCCACTGGCCTCCAGGTTGAACCTACTAAATGATCAAGGACCCTTGACCTGGATGCTTGGATGGGGTGGGGAGAAAAAGGTCCCTGTGATGCTAATAAACTTGTTCTTCTTCAATTCTGGATCCCTGTCTTAAATACATATTTATACCACAAATAGGAAAGAAATTTGTTGAAGACTATGATCCTCCTTGACTATGATCTGAGACACTAAGGAGGCCCATCTTATAGTAAAAGTAGCATTTGCCTATTTATCTGTGAGCTCATGACTAGTGGTCCACCTGGGTCAGGCTTCAAGAAGAGTAGCAGTAGGAAAAAATCTGGATGAGTAGGAAAAGACTGAATCCCAGGAGTGAGACTTGCTCAATTCAGATGCCAGGCCAAGTTCTAAAGGGCTGGAAGGAAGGTGGTCAATGTAGGGGCTTTTTATTGGAGAAGTAATCACACCCAAAATAGTTGCTACCCATTAACTAATCCCTGTGCCTCACCATTTTGATTTTAAGCTGTTGTCTGATGTATTTTCACCCTTAAATTCTTTGAAAAGATGCCCCTACTTTTGAGACTGAACTAAGGGGAAGCTACTGTTGCTCCTACACAAATACACCAAGTAGGCTTTTGTCTGATACCACAGCCCTTTACCTGTCTTCAACACAAAGAACCACCTTAGAAAGCCTCCAAAAGTCCTTAGGTGTGGAGGGCGAGGCCTTAGGCCGGTGGAATCTTAAAAGCCAGACTGAGGCGTAATCGAGTACCAGTACGGACGGACAGAAAGCGAACTTCCCAGACCGCAGCAGGCTTAAAACTTCCGCTCCGCAGCGCACTTGCCTCCACCCCCACCCTCCGCGTCCGCCCAGCTCTAGTTCTGCGCAGTCTCCTGGAATGATTTGCTGTCTCTATGGCAACCCGGTAGCTGGCGTCTGAGGATGGAGACCAGTGAGTCTACCAAGCTATTGCGGCCACGGTGAGAGCCGCAGCTCTGGCTGCAGGCATAAGGGGACAAGAAAGGTGAGCCGGCTTCCCTTGCTGCGCTTTTACAACTTTGCTGCTTTCGCTTTTTTCAGATCTTTAAACGTACAGCCCTGCTCCGAAGAACTAGGATCCACTTCGGATCCCATTCCTGCTTTGGATGGCCGTCATAGGTCGGCCCTGGCAGCCACTGCAGCCAGTGCAGCCGCCTCTACTGCCAAAGCATTATCTACACAGACCTCAGCGCCCTACTCCGGTCGGAGCCTTCTCATGGAGCCCTCCTCTGACAGTCTTGGGGAGCGCCACTCTGGATCCAGATTTACCCACAAGACAGGCCATAGGAGGGTTGGCTTTGAGCCAGCCTACGTTTCCCATGTTACTTGGAATCCCGACACTGCAAATGACCTTCGCTCTAGCCATGGCCCTGTTCCTGGCTCCAGCTCTGGCCCTGTTCCTGGCTCCAGCTCTAGCCCCAGTCCTGACTCCAGTTGTGATCCTGGCAGTGGCTCTGGCCCTGGTGGTGATTCTGGTCCTGGTCCTGGTCCTGGTCCTGGTCCTGCCTCTGCCTCTGATTCTAGGCGTAGTCCAGGCTATGGTCATGCCCCTGGGTTCAGTTCCTCTGCTCCGCCAGGCTTCAGAAGCCCCAGGGCACATCTGGTCCCTAATTATGCCTCCTGGAGTTACCACAGCCACCGGGAGCCTCGGAAGCAACCCTGGAAATGTTTGCAAGTCTCAGAACCTGGTGCCCGAGGGCTATGGAAGCCCCCTGAGGTTGAAGGGACTAGTAAAGTTCTCAATGAAACACTGCCACGGGGCCAGTGCCTTCTCTACAACTGGGAGGAGGAGGTATTAAGGTTTTGACCTGCTCCTTTTTCTTGAAGGCTGTCCCCAGCTGATGAGGGTGGGTACCAGGAAGGATTATTGTGGTAATTCGACTTGGGGCCCACAGAGAGCCACCAACCACCTGGATCAAGTCCCAAGCATGCAGGATGGTGAGAGTTTCTTTTTCCGACATGGACACCAGGGGCTGCTGACCTTGCAGCCACAGTCACCCATGTCCTCCAGCACCACCCAGAAAGACTCATACCAGCCTCTAGGAAACCACTATCAGCCAGTTCGAGGTATGAAACATGAGAGATTGGGCCAGAATGACTCCATTAGAGAAAAAGAGAGAGAGGAGTATTGGGTGGGACTATGGATTGTCCAATGGATCTAAGGGTAAAACCCGATTTCCCTTCCTTTTCTCAAATTCATTTTCTTCTGGGCCTGTTTCTTAACCAGACTCCTCAACTCTGTCCATTCCCTGACCTCCCACAGGGAAGCGTGAAGCCATGCTGGAGATGCTCTTGCGACACCAGATCTGGTGAGATGCTGGATGAAGGGGAACAGGGAGGGGGAGGACAAAAATTGGCAGGGGAATGGCCTTGACGCCCCCTAGGACTGTGCAGTAAAGAGGTGCAGGCAGAGCAGGAACCCACAAGGAAGGACACTGAGGTCGAGTCTGTGACACACCATGACTACAGGAAGGAGCTGGAGCAAGCAGGGCCTCCTGCCCCAACAAAGGTGAGAATGCATCCCACCCCACTTGTATAGCTGGGCCCTGACAGGCTGTGGGAAAGCAGCCGGCCCAGAGGCTGAGAAAAGGAGCTTCAGGCCAAGAGTTATTCAGTCTCTCTCCCTCACAGCCTCATGACTACCGTAAGGAGCAGCCCGAAACCTTCTGGATACAGAGGGCACCACAGCTACCGGTGTGTGAGGGTGACTAGGTGTGGGGAGTTGGCAAAGGGGAGGAGAAGAGGCTGTTCTGTTCTGCTTGGTAGAGAGCAGGATCCGCCCTCATTCTGGCACTCCTCCAGGGTGTCAGTAACATCAGGACACTGTACACGCCATTCCGGAAGAACTGCAGCTTCTCAACACCAGTGCCTTTGTCTCTAGGGCAGCCTTTGCCCTATGAACCTTTGCCCTATGAATTATTCCTACCAATTGGGAGAAATATCTTCCCTTGCCTGTCAGGGAAGAGGGCAATGTAGTGGAGTGGGTGGAACTACTCCTATCTAAGGGTTGAGGGAAGTCCATGTGGAATCTCTATCTGTACTGGAGAGGTGGGGAGGAAGTGAATTCTGTCTGTACATGGTGAAGGAGCTTTACATAAAAAGGATTCTCTCATCCTCAGTCTGCTGATTTCAGTGATTCTGTGAGCTACCATGACCATACCCCATAACCCTTCCTTGGAGTTGCCCCTAACCCAGACTATGTCACCATGACTTTTTTCATTTGTTTGTTTTATATTTGGCCAAAATATTCTGGTTTAGATACAGATATTTACAGAAGTAGGGAGGAAGGGGACCAGGCCAGAGAGGGGTAGGTATATGTACAAGGCTGAACTGCAAAGGGCAACAACTTCCATAGAAGGTGGGGTTTTTATGCATGTTGGTTTCCATCTCATGTAACAATGTCCATTTCTGCTGTGTGGAGAGATGATGGTCACGGCCCACCCAGGTACCAGCAGCAGGAGACTGCCTGACTTGGGAAGAAGTGGGGTTTATAGGAGCCCAGCAGGTCCTTTCCGCTCTCCTAGGAGCCAGTAAGTTCGCATCTTTCCTTTTCCCTGAAAGCGGGGGCATAGAGAGAATTCAGATTCTCCTGTGTTATTCCCCTTTCTGCCCTCTTCCCTCTATGATCCCCATAATCACGTTCATCCGCCTTTCCATGACTCCTTCCCCATGGCCTGCCATCACCTTCATCTCCACATCCCCTCGAAGCTCTAGCTGGAAGCATCCTAGCTCATCCAGGGCATCCTTGGTGGTAGAGGAAACATGAATCTTCAGGGCTGGGGTGGGATGGGGGGAAAGATGGAAAGAAGAATCAGAGAAAAGGCAATCAAAGAATTGGCAGTATCGGAGAGCACTTTACCCAGCTACCATCCCTCAGGAGGCTCTCGGTCCTCCCAAGATGATGCATTAGAACCAAAATATGTCCAAGGATGGAGCAATCAGATTGAGAGATTTGGAGGAATTCTGAAAAGAAGAAAAGGGCAACACAGATTGAGGCTGAAGCTGGGGTTAAGGGCTAACGTCTCACCTTGACCATTAGACTCCATTCGGGAAGCAGTGTTCACTGTGTCTCCAAAAAGACAGTAGCGGGGCATCTTCAGGCCAACAACCCCAGCACAGACAGGCCCTGTGAGAAGAAACAGGTTGGGAGAGCCTGGGAAAAGTGGATACAAAGGCAGGAGTGAGAGTCAGTCTTACCCGTGTGGACCCCTATGCGTAGCCTCAGCTGGTCATGGGGTCGGTGGCGGATCCGGAAGGAAGAAACTGCATCCAATAACGCTAGGGCCATGCGAGCAATTTCCGGGGCATGTCGTTGCCCGTTTCGGCCTGGGAGACCAGATACCACCATGTAGGCGTCTCCAATCGTCTCTACCTGATTGAGAGGTTGATGAAAAGGTCACCTCTATCTGTGTCAGTGGGAATGTAGAAGGAGACAAGCTGGATTCCACTATAAGTTGTCCTGATGGCCTGGAGGCCAGAACATTGACTAGAAAGTAAGTGCCATGGTCCTGAGAATCTGGGAGAAGGGAAAGTCAATGGAATCTTTAAATCCTCCTGCCCCACCCCAGCACCTGGCAAATACTCTGTAAATGTTTGCTGAATGGACACCTGGTCTGCAGCAGGACATGGTCCAAATAGGCTCTGCTGTCAGGAAACAGGAAGCAAGACAACAGGGCTGCCCTGAAGAGCACAGAAGCTGGTGAGGAGGTCAAGCAGGTGCAATGAAATGGGCCTCAGACAGCCTAAACTGTCAAAGGTAAGAAAGCAGGCACTTGGCTGCATTAATAGTACTTCATTAATAGTTATAAGAGAAGGTCCTTGTTTTGGGGAACCACACACTGACCTGTTTTAGGGATAAAGGGACACAATGTCTATAACTTACTTGCAAAAAGTTCAGAAAATAATTATATGGATACATAGATTTAAAAAAAATAAAGCAAATGGGGGGAAATATAAACAATTGGCGGATCTGGATAAGGGTTTATGGCAGTTCTCTGTTATAGTAGTAAGAGAAATGGTAGAGTAAGTCCAAAGGGAAGGGGCATGAGTGGATATATATTATCTGCACAATGTTGGACACTTTCCACAATAAATCTATTATTCCTATCACACAGATAAAATATCTGAGGCTCAGGGAGCTTCTGTTACGTGCCCAAGGCCACACGGCTTGCTACAAAGCCAGATCATTTTTACTCCCAAGCACAATAAAGCCCACCCTGTGCCAACTCAGTGACTTCAACAAAAAGCTTTTCCAATATAGCTTGTCTCTCACCCCAACAAATCATTCTATACCCATTCTATACCCATCCTGTATGATTCTTCCATGTCTGGAGGGGATGGAGAAAAGAGAAAAGACAACTAGGCTAACCTTATACCCGGAGGCAAAAAGTGGCAGGGGCTAAATCTTGTGATGATTCTGATTAAAGAGCCTTAAGGATTCACAAGAGGTTAGACAGTAGTGTGTACAGTTACAGTGCCAGAGCCTCATTTGTCTAGGAAGGTCACTCTAGCACTAGGATGTTGGGGACCCAGGCGGGAAAACTGACCATGGAGCAGATAAGATATGTGGGAACAGGGAGACTGGGTTTTAAAGGAGTGTCAGTGGAAGGGCAGCCCAGCTCTCACCTTGTAGACGTCAAAGTTGTCAATTATGGCATCAAAGCAGGTATACAGATCATTAAGAAGTGTCACCACCTAACAGGGATAAGAAAGCAGAGGACTTAAGACTTGTGCCCAGCTTTCTAAGAATTCTTAACCCATGAGCCATAACAAGATATGGGAACTCCAGAAAAAAAGCTATTGTTTTCTATTATCAAGGATCCCTATGCCCCAGTGAAGCTGCCCCACGTCCCTACCCCGCCCCCTGCCTCTCACCTGCATGGGGGTGCTCTCTGCTGACAAAGCTGTGAAGCCAACGATGTCACTGAAGTAGATGGTAACGCTATCAAAGGCCTCGGCCTGTACAGTCTCTCCCCGTTTTAACTGCTCTGCCACTGAACTAGGAAGCAAGGGTGCAGTCTCAGCCAAAGGCAGAGGAGGATGGGAGGGGGAGAGAGAGAAAAAGAGTGTGTGGCTGGAGCAGCGATGAGTTCTAACATGAAAGCTGAGCCCAGTGAGGGGGAGAAGGCAGGTGGCTGGAAAGACATTACAGTGCAGGACAAGGTCAGGTGTACAAGTGGGGGTGGGGGTTGGAAGGGGATCCCTCAGGATGGGGGCTAAACATCTCAAGTTAGGATTGTTCTACATACACCCACTACAGCAGAGGTCTGGGAGAGCAGTGTCCTAAGAAGGGATGGGAAGCCAGGAAGAAGGCAGCACAGCTCATTTGGAGACAGAATGAAAACCCATGGCCTATAGCTAGCATGGCTCATGGTAGCAAAATGTAACACAGCAGGGTTCTAAGGGCTGGGAAGTGAGTTCTCAAGAGCTTGCAGAGGCAGAACCCAACAGAGCAGAGTACCAAAGGAAAATTCAGGAAGGAGGACAGAAGTCTCACTGGGGCAGAATTTGGTAGAGCAGAGCCTCAGCCTTGCGTTTCTCCTCCAGATAGGCCTGTGTGCGTTCCTCCACCAGCTTCTCCAGGTTATTGGCATACTGCTCCATGCGCAACAGGAGGTTGTCCAATATGCTGGTGCCACCCTCCCTGGAGGGAGGCCAGGATATGGTACCTGCTCCAAGATTCTCAAGACTCCCAGGACTTTCTACCCAACCCACCCTCTTGGCCCCACCAACCCCACCTCATCCACTAAGACTGATGAGGCTTCTATCCCTGGGGAGCCCCTGCCCCATACTGCCCTCTCACTTGTTAAAGCGGCGAATGAAGCCCTTAATCTGTCCAAAGTCTGGCCGCTCAGCTGGGTCCTGGGCCCAACACCGCTCCATCAGCAAAACTAGCTCTTCATTCAATTGGGTCCGGTCAATGCTCGGCCGGAAATAAGGCCGCTGGCCATTTCGGACCTTCTGGACAATCTCTGAGGGTGATAAGGTGTTTAGATGAAGAACCGGGCCCCCCAGGTAGAGGAGGCCATGGGTAGCAGACTGACTCACCTTTGGGGCTGAGGTCCAGGCCCTCCAAGTAGAAAGGACCACTGCGAAGTGCTATCTCCTGTAAGATGATCCCAAAGCTATAGACATCAGCCTTCTGCATGCCTGTGGTTGGCAAGGAGTTCCCACTGAGCAGTTCTGGGGAAGTCCACAGCTTCTCTGAAAAGAAGGAACAGGCTGGCCAGGTCCTCAAAAAAGGTATCCCCAAGCCCACCTGGGCTCATCCCCATAATGCTCACCATATTACTGTCACTCCATCTCCCTCTCCCACCCTCCCTAGGGAGAAATGATCAGGGCCAGCGGGGCAATATGAAAGTGGGTTGCCGGGGAAGGCCTCACTGGCATAGAGGGCGTGGCTGTCATCGGGTTCAGCAGTTGATCGGAAGCTGGCCAGGCCATAGTCTGTGATTTTGAGCACAAAACGACTATCCACCACACAGTTGGAGGACTTGAGACTCCCATGGGATGCAATAATGCTGTTATGGAGAAAGGCCATGCCCTGCAGGATACACATCAAGTCATGGGATTGGATCATATCTGGTTTAGGATACCCCCTCTCCATGAGATGGGCATTAGCTAGCTGTTTAAAGATCTTGGGGCCATAAAAACAACAAGCTAATTTTGGAAGGCATCCTTTCCACATTTTCCACCCAAGGACACAAGTGAAATAGGAGAGTCATCCCTTCCTGGTACTAAAGCAGTATATTGGCACCCTGGCACCAGGAAGAGGAGTTATGCTTAAGAGGAGGGACAAAGGGGAGCTTTAAGTTATTCCCCTAGAAAGGGCAGTTTGTCTTCCGAGTAGTGAAGGGAACAGAATGATGAGGGTGAACTCCAAGAATATGACACCCATTGTGGCCTCAAATGCGTGGCCACTACTCAGGAAGACTGGCTCAAGACCCAGGTATCAAGAGTACCTAGATGCACCAAGGAATACTAGCCAGTTGTAAATTTTAATGTACATCCATGTATAGGTGGGCAAGTTGAGATGGAGGAGGAAAGTGATCTACTAGAGGGGATGCTGGGCCAGAGAGAAAGTGGAGAAAATAATAAATTTGAAAAACCTGGAAAA